TTTACTCCTTCACTCTAAATCCTCTCAAGTTGACAGATGATTATATAACGACCACACTCGTGAACCCTATTTTCAGTGTGGTCACCCCTCACGTCCTCATTGCCCTTCTTAACTCTCAGTTTTAAGGTTCATCCTTAGGATCACCCTGTTAACCCCCTTGCTTTCCTCGATTTCTGTCCTACTGTCTGGCAGCATCCATGTCACTTGTTGCCTTGACAAGTTGCGTCTGTCTTTTGGCGACCCCATGCGTTACAGAGTAGAACTGCTCCATAGGATTGTCTGCTCTATAATCTTATGGAAGCGGCTCACCATTGCCATGCCACTACCTAAACAAAAGCTCACTGCCACCGGGTGGTTGCCGCCTCACAACAACCCAATGGCAGGGTAGAGCTGGCCCTGGGGGTTCCCGAGATTGTAGCTCTTTCCTGGAGTAGAGAGCCTCCTCTTTCTCCTGAGGAATGCTTGCTGGTCTCCAGCTGCTGACCTTGTTAGCAGTGGAACACGTCACCCACGATGCCATCAGGACTCCTGCAATGCCACGAGGCGGGTTTAAATTGCCAACTTGAGGTGCGTGGTCAGGCACAACCTGCTGATGCCGCACACACTAAACCCAACAGTCTGTCGACATTAACTCCAGCATTCTGCATCTGCACCTGTGGATCGAATCTGGCTGGCGAAGAAGCACCGAGTCATGCAGACCTGTCTCACTTTAAATCTGTAACTCTAAGTGACCTTGGAAATTCTACTCTCTCATCAGTTCTTCCAGGTGGTTATCTGGCAACTTTTCCTTAAACTTCAGTGCCTCCTCCCACATGCTTTCTCTTACTTGGTGACTCTGCTTCATGGTGCACCAAGAGAGTAGGATCAATCTGCAAACTTCTGCTTACTCTCTCTCCCAAGTCTCCCACTGGGCGATTAGCACATCCTCTGCCTCCCTTCCTGTTACCATGAGTGATCTGTCGTAATGCTTGTCACTGCTTCTAAGGCCAACCTCTTCACTGGTGGCCTGGATTCCATTTGCTCCTCTCATTTGCTTAAAGACTTTACACTGCCAATTACTCTTTCTTTCTTGCATCATCCAATTTTTAAAAAATAATAGTTTTGCAAAGAAAGCTGATGGTGCCCGGCTATCAAGAAGTATAGCGTCTGGGGTCTTAAAGGCTTGAAGGTAATCAAGCGGCCATCA